ATGATTAATTTTGAAAAAAGCGGTATGATTAGTTGTTGGTGGAATTTTGAATTTATATTAAAATAACATTCAAAATAAAATAATTAAAGTTGATTTGATGTAAAAGTAGGAGAGAGACGAGTAGGAGAGAGACGATATGAAGTGATGGTTAGTTAAATTATGTGAGTGAATGAACAATAAATTAATGTTGATGTAATGTGTAAGAATGATTGAGTGGTATTATTTAATTATATTGATAATATTGAGGATAGTGTGACTGCATTAAAGTTGAGTTAGATTTGAGTCAAAAAGAGTGATTGGATTTTTTTTTGGAAAAATTTTGTATCCATGCATAGATTTTGACAGATCTCGAGGCAAGAAAATCCCATTATGATTTGAAGGAAAAGAAATCTTGTTTCAGGATAGTATATAAACCTGTTCAGATCAATGTCTGACTGAGGAGGGAAGTAAAAGAGCAGCCTCTGAAGCAGAAGGGCAGCAGTCTTTCTGTTGTGAGAAATTAGCACTGCATTTGGCCCAGCATCAAATGTATAAGCCACCTGTTAAACAAGTGGCTTGTCATTAGTTATCTTGATTAGGAAATGGATATGCAGATAAATGGCATGTGTTGAGTGCCACAAATGTCCAGGACTAAAAATTGGACATTCAATTCAAACAATTGAATAAAGCATACTGTGCAGCTTATTGTCACAAACTTGTTTCCTGAATGCTTGTGAAAAAAGAAAAAGATCAAAGTAAAGTTGAACTGTGCCACATATTAAACACACGACACCAAACAACCAAAAAGGAAGAAAAAAAAAAGAAAGAGAGAAAGAAAGAAAGAAAGAAAGAAAGAAAGAAAGAAAGAAAGAAAAAGTACGGGAGATAAATAAATTGGCAAAAATTGACCATTCGATCAAGAGTTATGGTGGTCGTTGGTTTTAAAGATGATGTGATATGTGAAATAATAAATTCTTGCAACACATGCATTATGTCAAAGTGCATGCCAACCATTTTATGTCAGAGTAGAGTGATCCAAAAGTGTACTACTTCCGTTAGTATGACTCATTAATATGCAAATACAGGGACTGCAGAATTTAGAATGCAGACTGTATTTTTAAACAAGAAAGCAGAGAGAAAAAGTAATAACCTGCGGTGTTCCTTCATGGCGATTCCATTTCTCAACAGCACTGATTATCCTGGAACATTAATCCCTTGATGAGAACAAACTAATAAGTCATAACAAGCTGCTGCTTGAGAACAAATATAT